GGTGAATAAATGCCCCAGAGATCAGAAAAGAGAAGGTAATAGCAGTAATCCAGAGGTCGTGTGTGACAAGGCCCCAGATACCCACCACAGTGAGTGAGTGAGTCATCCTTAAGCAGAACCAAATGAAATTTCAAAAACATTGAACAGGAAAGTGCTAAACATCCTTCTCCAAAGAAGGAAAAGAGATAGCTTGCCTGTTCAAGAGGGAGAATTAGACTGAACAGCTGTCATCTCAGCAACAAGAGGGATTTGGACATGGGAAGTGTCCTGCACACTGAGGCACGGCAACCTTCACCCGGTGTTTATTCCCAGCCAGATCTAGCTGGATGTTCCTCAGCAGGCAAAGCTCTGCCACCCCCACATCTCTGCTAGGAAGTTGCTTAGCAATGTACTACAGCAAAGGAAGGACATAGGTCAGGAGCAAAGGGAGATGCAGGTCCTAGGAAGCTGAATCCTGATTCGGACACGTTCTGACAGCCGTGTGGACATCCTAGAATGACAAATCCAACGTGCAGCAAGCAGAGGGGGGCTGATTAAGGAAGATAGGAAAGGGCAGGCCACCAACGGCAGAACAGAAGCAGAGCGCCTGCACTGTGAGAAGATAAAGACCCAGAGGGAGGCAGCACGTGGTCACCCTTTAGCCCATGGGGGGTGGGGTGCTGAGCTCGCGGCCAGGCACAGCCTTCCCCAGGAGGGCATCGGGGCTGTGCATCGCAGGCCTGCTCCAGTCCTGAGCAGTTGCTGCATAGCCTTCAGGTAAATGCCATGCGCTGTTGTCAAGCCCATTTTTGGACCTGGGCTGGGAAAGAATTTAAATGTTAACAGCTTTGGCAGTGTGAGAGAACGATGCATTTTCGAAAGGAAGCAGCAGCACTTCTGTGCTTAAAGAAAACGTTTATTTCTTTGCTTTTCTTTCCAGATCATTCATCTTGAAGAAGCTGCTTTGGCCAGACTCCGCCGAGACCCACCGTGAGTCAGGAGGCGTGGAGTTCAGCGAACTCGCTGCAGGCCATATCTTCTGAAATCACTAGAGGGATTTTCTCCAGAAGCCTTTCTTTAGTCTTGGTTCTGATCATCATGTATAAGTTAACATAAATCATGCAGCCGGGAACATAGCTCAGCAGTACAAGTACCTGCTTGGCAAGTACAATGTCCTGAGTTCAATTCCTGGTCCAAAAAATAAATCATGTAGATGTCTATTTACTTTAGTGAAGTTCCACAAAATAAAAGGAAATAATTTTGCTATCTTGGTGTGGAACTTCCAGTTAGTATTGGCAGGCTATGCTGGGATACCGCCATCCGACGTGGGCCCACTTGCTGGGTCGCCCCTGCAGCTTCGACGCAGCTGTGTACTTTATGCTGTGTTGTTTAAAGGAGAAAATGCATCTGGGCTTGGGACTTCAGCAGAACACATTAATTTGGGAGCCTTGAGAGGGTGGGAGGTAGGGTGTGGAGGAGGACTTGCCTTTTTATTCTGTACATTTTTCTACACTGTTGCCACGCCCTGCTCCCTGGAAGTATTGGGTATACAAGATTAGTGCTGATCTCCTTAGAACTCTCATTTCTATACTCTTCACATCCACGAGGATGTGCATAGCACCAGAGAGTGGCAGGATTTACCTGTCTCCAGAACGCTTGTGGTTTTATCCTAAAACAGCCCCGCATTGCTTCCTGTTCTGCCCCTGCCCCTCCAGCCACACTGTGAATGGCAAAGTAACTGCTGGACACACAGAGGCTTGCAGACACGCAAGGAGCATTAGTGTCCAGAGTGCCTGTGCCTTGGAGCTGCCAGTGCCCGTGTGCACCCTCCTGTGGACTAGTAATGCTTCCCCCTAGGTCAGGGTTTTGTGTGTCCTGAGGACCAAGCCCAGGCCTCGAGCTGTGTGGCCAAGCTGAGACCCCAAACCCCTGGGATTACTCATACTGATGATAACCTGCGCCTTCTCTGATCTGCACCTCTGAGGCTGTCGCTGCATCGACACTGTATGTGTACTCTTAATTCATGAGTGACAGCAGCAATGATGAGCTGCCAAGTAAAGCAGATTGCAGCCGCAGCTCCTACTGGGTTTGTGCTGACTCAGATGAGACCACCAGGAGCGGAGGCCATTGGTGAACTTCGTGGTGTGTCAGGGGAAGGAGTTGGAGACCATAGTCTTGAAAAGTCTGCAGTTTAAGAGTCAGAAACAAGGAGTTATGAACCATTTTTGGGAGCTGCAGGCCTGGACTGTGGGTAGACGGACCAGGACGGGAGAAGTGCTATGACCAGTGGTTCACATAAATACATAAGCTATTTTATTGGCAAACTAGCTTGTCATACTAGCAAGAGAAGCTGTAAGGGTAGTTTCTTGTCCGATTGGGGAGACATTTATAGCTCGTTTCCCATTATATAATTCAGAGCTTCTAACAGAATAGTAGACAGTGATACGGGTAATAACTTCAACAGTCTTAACTGTCACTTAAGTGCATTCAGGGATGACAGGTTTCTTTCATGCATGAACTACTGGGTATATTTTTAAAAAACATTTATCCTAAAGAAAAGCCACAGTGCAGTATTTCAGTTATAGTACTATACTCTGTGTGTGTGTGTGTGTGTGTGTGTGTGTGTGTGTGTGTGTGTGTGGTTTGGATGAGTTGTAATATACCACAAAAAAAGTAAATTTGCCCTTCAAATATAGGATCAATTTGTGATTTTCCTCAAATTTGCCTTTAGCTCCCTCCTTTTTTTTCTTAAGAAAAGCAGACTAGGGCTGAGAGATAGTTCAGTAGAATAAGCAGTTGCCTGGCAAGCGCAGGGTCCTGAGTTCAGTCCCCTGAACCACAAAAAAAGAAAAAAGCAGACTAAAGGCTGAGGAGATAGCTCATTAGTCTAAGCACCTGCCTGGCAAGTGCAAGGACCTGATCTCAATCCCCGGTACTGCATTCCTGTAATCCCAGTGCTGGGGAGGCTGAGACAGGAAGATCACTACAAGTCCAAGCTGCATAGTTAGACCCTGTACCAAATAAAAGAATTTTTTAATTAAAAAAAAGGGGGGCTGGGGGCGGTGAGGAGATAGCTCAGTAGAGCAAGGGTGTTGAGTTCAATCCCAGGTTCTGCCAAAAATTAAATAAGGGCAGGCCTAATAGCTCAGCAGATTAAAGCGTCTGCAAGCAGGCTCAGGGGCCAGGGTTTGATCCCCAGGGCGCGCTGAGGCAATTGAGACTGGGTGTGGTGGTGTGCTCCTGTTATCCCAGCTCTTGGGAAGCTGTAAACAGGCAAATCACTAGGAGTCCAATGTAGTAGTGAGACCCTGAACACCCTATAGACCCTTCCCTAAAAAATACAAAAATAAAAATAAAAGCAGGCTAAGATGTAAGTCATTAACATGACCTTTACTAAAAATAAAAATAATAAAGTGATCTTTACTGTTTCATCCCGGAACGCCCATGCTTTCCTACAGCAGCTCTTCTGCCCATCTGCAGCTCGGAAAGCTCATCTTATTTTCCACTTACGAGTGCTGCATACTCCAGATCTGCTGGGTGTGAGACCCTGGAGTTTGAGAACAAGCCATTTGCATGGCATAGATCTCTCTTGGCTTAACGTCCAGCGTGGCGGAAGCGGGGCTAAGCAACCCCTCCAGGATGTCCAGGTGTTTTCCTGACCAGAGTTGCCAGATGAGCAAGGCTAAATTGAACTGCCCACACCTGGTGCTGGGGCTTAAAGCAGGACCTTCACACTGCATCTCCACTAACACTTTCTTATTTTGAGGCAGACTGTTAAAATTGCCCAGGCTGACTGGACCTTCTAGTCCTCGCTCCTCGGGTTCCCAGAATACAGATGTACACCATCATGCCAGGCTTGAATTCCGGGGGGAGGGGAAGGTTTTTTGAGACAGAGTTTCACTATGTATATGTAGTTCAAGCTGGCCTCCAATTCACAATGATCCTCCTGCCTCATGAGTGCTGTAATTACAGGTGTGCGCCACCACGCCCAGCCTTAAACTAAATAGTGGATATTCCTGTTTTATAGCTCTTAATCTCTTAATTTACATCTGTAAATTTAAGATCTTGACAATTGGGATTCAGCTTGGTGTCCCAAGGGTTTCTTCCGTAAATCTTGAAGGAAGTCCAGACAGTCTTACGAAGATAGCATGTCTGCCTAAAAAGACACCCAAAAATGGATACCCGGGATTGACCCTCCCATTGAAGAACGGCGTCCAGCAGCTTTTTCTCAGTAATTCTTCCACCTCACTTGAGGCTTCATCTGGCAGCAGGGCTGGGAAGAGGGGGTCTGGGATTACGATGAACCTGGACTGGACCTGGACTGAACCTCGAGGCTGGAGCTCCGGGGTCGCCCCACAGCGCCCCAGGTCTCCTAGCAACCTTTCGCGTTGGGTACACCTCGTGCTTTAAGTGGTCAGATGATTGCCGCCGCAGCTGCTGCTTATCACCGTGGCTGGCACCTTGATTAGATAAAGGTTCAGAAAAATGCACGGGAAAGCGAGGCAGCTCACGGAGCCCCGCGGTGCCTGGGCGCCTTGCTCGGCTGGGTCCGGAAGGAGGGCGCCCTCCCCTGTTCTCTACCCCGCGCAAGGAGAGGGCTCAGATGAAGCGGGCGCCTAGCAGTGCCCTAAGGGGAAACACCGGCAACCTGTCGGCTGCTTCCTATATATTTACTTTTGGAAATCTGGAACAAAAAGAAAGGGGCTGCCTCCGACACCCTTTCTCACCCTGTCGGCTTGGACGCGCTGCGCCTGCAGAGCCGCGAGCGCGCGTCGTCCCCGCCTCCTACCGGCCAGGATCTTTCAGCCCCACTCCGGGCAAAGTTTTGTTTCTGTTCCGAATCGCAGTTTTCTCAAAAGGACATCCCATCTCTCCAGGCATATTGACTCCTGGCCCCCTCCCCATCTTCCAGCTTTGCTCTCGTTGGTCACCCCGCCCCGCTCGCCCCGTGAGATCCCGCGGCGCGAACCTGGCCGAGCTGGGTGCCCGCGCAGCCTCTCCACGCGGCGCGGTCGCGGCTCGCAGGTGGGGCCCGCGCGACCCCGCCCCCGGCCCCGCCCCCCACGCGCATTGGTGCAGCCAGCTGTCGGTCTTCGGCTGGGGAGGGGGCGCCGCGCACTGCGGTCGCTCTGCAGAGGGCTCCGATCTCCCTGCTGCCTGGTGCCGCGACCTCGCGAACAGGGTCGGCCTGGAACCCTGCAGCTCTCGGTAAGTGAAAGCAGGAAGGCCGTGGGGTGGGGTCTAGGACGGTGTCCAGCCTGCACATCTGGGCGGGAAGCGCCGGGACCCCCGGGCTGTGGTCCCAGGGAAAGCGCGGCAGGTCGAGAGCCGGGAGCATCTCCAGCCCTTTTATCTCCTGTCCTGGAGCACACCTGGGGAGGGTTCTCCTTTGCCCTTTTTTTAAAAACGTGTTGTTGGGGTTCGTGGCTGTTATAATTTTGCATATAGCTTTGAAGCTAGATTCTGTTCCACGCCCCCGGCATTTTCTTTTTCGAGCTCTTCATCCTGCCGAGAGGAGCCTCGAGCCACAGGGAAAGGTGCTTCCTCCTGGAGGCAGCTCCTGGTTCCTATCTGGAGCGAGGAAAGTCGCTGCTTTCTGCACCGGTTGGCGGTGGCTCTTTGCTGCTGTAGGGAAAAAGGGAAGGTGATGGCTTGTGTGGCCTGAGACGTGACATTCTGCCAGGAAGGGACAATAGGCACTTACCTGAAGGTTTCCTGAGGCTGTAAAGCTACCTGGCAGCATAGGGGTGCATTTTGTCATTTGCAGTCTAGGATTCTGCCAAGTATTCTCTCCTCGGGCTGCGTTCTCCCTACCTCCCCCAGCTGCTTGCTGTGGGGGATCCGCTTTGCTTCTGCAGCCTGCTACAGATTGTAGTGAGCTACTGGAGCAGCTGTCTCTGCACAGTTGAAGTTCGTTCTGAGTGCTGCCTCCCTAAACACGATCCGGGCTCGGCGCCGTGCCACCGATCCATCCTCTGCTCGGTTCCAATACTCGACAGCGAGAGCGAGGACACCGGGAGATGAGGAAGCCAGGCGGTGTGCTAGTTGTAGCATTCTGTGTGAGAGACGCTGTAAAGGGTTATTTCAGCTCTGTCAGTGTTCTAGGATAGCTATCTTAGAGTTAGAGGCATGCAATACCCAACCTGTAAAAAAAAAATCAAAAGTTTCAGGGTTCCAATTTTTTTCTACAGTTCGTGGAATCAAGGGAAATGGAATAGTGAAAGATTTACAGGAGAATATTATGAAGAAAAAGACTCCCTTTGCCTATTTTAGAACATCTACCAATTAAAATTCAGAAGCTGTTTTTTAGATAATTACATCTCTATTCTTTGATGCTGCATACTAATTTGTAAATTTATTTTTAAATATACCTTTTTACCTATATATAACTAATAAGTTTGCCAGATGCACAGGCTGCCAATTTGTATTTGGCTTTTAAATTCATTCCAGAACCAAAGAAATAAAGCTTGGTTTTAAAATAGCAAGAACTTGCTGGACATGGAGGCACATGCCTGTAATCCCAGCACTCAGGAGGCTGAGGCAGGAGGGTCACTATGAGTTTGAGGCCAGACTGGGCTACAAAGTGAGTTCAAGGCCAACATAAACTACACAGCAAGATGCTGTGTCAAAAAGACAATAAATAAGCAAGAATTCAAGTCTAGCCTCGGGTGAGTTCTGAGGCCACAGGCTGCATGTTGGTGAAATTACCATTAAATGGGGACAGAAGTATAGCAGTGTGGAGTACAGCCTTGCATGTGAAAGACCCTAGACTTAAGCCTCAGTACTATGAGGGGAGAAAACTACCATTAAGCAGTTAAAAATTCTTACACTAATGAATCTATTGCACATGAGCATCTCCAGAGAGTTCATGTTGTGACGAAATTTTTTGTTGTTGCTATTCTTTTGTTTTTTGAGACAGGGTCTCATAATGTAGTCTAGGCTGGCCTTGAACTCACTATGTAGCCCAAGCTAGCGTCACTGTTGTCCTCCTGCTTCAGCCTTCTGAGTGCTGGGATTACAAGGCCTGTCTCACCATGCCCAGCTCTGACGAAATTTGTTCATTCTTTCCTTCTGATAAAATTCTTAACATCCAGTTTCAGAGCACAGGCTTCCAAGCAGGCAGGCTTGGGCAGTTTTGTAATCTTGGGCAAGCTGCTTCCTTTAGAGATGGAGGTACCACCACCTACTCACTTTGTGCTATTCTGGGTAGCCTAGAGATGTATGTAAAAGCGCTTGGCCTGCCTGGTATGCAGGAGTTGCTCCGTAAGTGTCCGCTAGTGCCATCATTAACGCTCACTGACCTCCCACTGTGTGCACGTCATAGCGGCAAGTACGGACAGCAGCTACACGTCAGAGAGCCACAGCTGATCTCAGGACAGAATGACAGTAATGTTAGAATTTCCTAAGAGGACGCATGCAAAAGTAGTACCTCCTTGATGGAATGTACATTTTTAGAAGAGAAACCTATGACACAACAGAAGGGAGAGTAAAAGTCTTTCCGTCTCTGGCTGGGACCTTATCCTCCGGCAGCATGGCTTTCAAAGCAGGCCACTGGACCTCTTTGGAGCTCAACTTTATTATCTGGCTGGATTGAATGATCTACAATCTCTAAAGTCTTTTGGAAAATTCTGGTTTTTGTTTTTTTGGGTTTTGTTTTTTTTTTTTTCAAGACAGGGTCTTGTTATGTAGTTCAAGCCTGTTTTGAACTCACTGTGTAGCCCAGGCTGGCCTCAAACACACTGTAATCCTCCTGCCCAGGTCTCCCAAGTGCTGGGATTAAGTCATGTGCCACCACACCCAGCCTGTAGCTTCAAAATTCTTAAATGCATGTCATAAGAAATTGCATTAACTTGCTTAACAGCCTGCATTTCATTTTTGTTGTTGTTGTTTGCTAAACTTGCACGTTTGGGTCATAAGTAATCCATAAATACAGCACAACTAAATAAGCAGTAATCTCAGATCTGTAGAGTAGTCCAAAATGAAAATTTAACAAACAAAATAAACAGAATCAAACAAAATATAGTTACAGCGAAATCTTTCTGGCAGTCGACAAGGCAGAAAGTATCCCCAATCATTTTTCCCAGTCATTTCAGTAAGTTCTATGGAAAACCTACCTGGTAAAAATCTCCATTCAACTGAAGTGGTATCTTTGAAAGTAATAGGCTTATTCTGAAATAAAATACCATTTTATTTTCTCTCACCAGGTTGATCTTTACGTAAGCAAAAATGTATGCAGTAAAGAGTTTTCATGAAGAAATTAAAGAGACAAGGTTAAAGTTAAAGCTACAGAGAAACTAGGTATCCACGCTAGAGAAACCATCTAGAACGAGGACGGAATGGAGTAAGGCCGAAGGAATGAGCGCACCTGGACCGCTGTTTCCCGAGCTGAGTTCTGTCTACCTGCATAACGATGCACAGGAAAAAGGCTACCGTGTTCTAGAGAATGAAGGCGTGCAGTGTGACAATGGCGGCCACAGTCTCTGAAATTCAAGTAGAAAATAAGGATGAGAAGCAAGCTGCGGAAGTTAGCCCTCGGGATGAGCGACGGAAGCAGAAAGCATCCGTGCTTTGCTTCAAGAGAAGAAAGAAAGCAGGCAAAGCGTTGAAGCCCAAAGCCTGCGCCGAGGCTGAGACTGCGGCGGCCAGCAAGGCGCCTGGAGACGCGGGAGCTCCGGATCAGCCCCCGCGGCCAGGGGGCGCCTGGGCCTCCATCAAAGGCCTGATGACGCGAGGGAAAAGGTCCGCTCCTTCAAAGCCGCAAAAGCCGCCCGAGGCTGAAGTGCATCCTGAAATAAAGGCTGAGGGTGCTGATCTTTCTAAGAAAAAGGCTAAATCCAGACTTAAGATTCCCTGCATAAAATTCTCACGAGGGCCACCGAAGAGTAGTCATTCCAAAATTATAGAAGACTCGGACCGCAGTCTGAGAGTGCAGGGTGAGGCCGAAGCTTCGGCTGCACAAACTCAGACCGCGGCCACCGACCAGGCGGCGGGGCCCAAGTCGGCCCGCGAGCCGAGCGAAGGCGTCGCCACGCACGAAGACGGCGGCGGTGAGGTCTGCGAGTCCAACGAGAGCAACAGCGTCACGCCCGGAGAGAACGTGATTTCAGTAGAACTCGAACTAGATAACGGGCGTTCTGCTATTGAAACAGGAACTCTAGCCCTCGAGAAGGAACCCGAAGAAGGGACGGAGGACACGCAGAATGTTCCGTCCCAGCAAGCAGGTCCACTTGAAAGTTCAGAACCAGCCAGTCTGCAGCCAGTGGCTTCTGCGGCTGCTCCTCCACCTGCAGTACCGGATCAGCAAGCCGTGGGAAAATCCAGCGACAGCACCCTGGACGGTGAGCCAAACCGGAAAGACTATGAAAGTGGAGAGGCTGTGGCCGAAGAAGAGAATAAGCCAAAAGATACCCGATTAAGCCCGGAATCAGACTTGAAAGAAAACGAGATCAATGTAGAGAAGCCCAAATCCGAGGAAAGCAAAAGAATGGAGCCAATTGCTATCATTATTACAGACACAGAAGTCAGTGAATTTGATGTTAAAAAATCTAAAAATGTCCCTAAGCGTTTCTTAATTTCCATTGAAAATGAGCAAGTAGGTTTTTTGGCTAATGACAGTGATTTTGAGGGTAGAACTTCAGAACAGTATGAAACACTCTTGATAGAGACAGCTTCTTCTCTCGTCAAGAACGCTATCCAGTTGTCTGTAGAACAGCTGGTTAATGAAATGGCCTCTGATGATAATAAGATAAACACTCTTCTAGAGTGACTTAATTCCCAAGCCATGGGAGGGAGGAAAAAAAAAGCTTACCGATGAACTATTTATACATTTGCGGCATTTCTTATTCCATAAGAAATGAGAGATTGATCGTCTGGAGTTTAAAGGTGCAATTCCAGCACAGAAGAACTACGAAATAGGTCAAGTTGACGAAACTCTTTCCCCTGCGATGTGGTCGGGTCTAGACTGGAGGAAGTCAGCAGGGCCTACAGTGCACAGTGACATTCTGGGAGCCGCTAAACGGAGACAGTCCTGTGGGCCAGGAAGGTGTATTTACTGAGCACTTACAGAGTGCTAGGAGCTGCTTACTGGCTCTTTTCTGGTGTTACAAACTCTGATTTCCTTTTGATAGTTCAACCCTGTGTACAGGTCAACATCACATCTGCTTTTCAAAGACGTTTTCTTTTTTTAACAGTGCACTTGTATAGTGTTGAAAATGGTGAATAAGGTGAGTTATATTTGTGAATGCGTGATTTTGTTACACTCCTAAGCAGTATACCTCACAAAATAGGTTGCATTTCCCTGATTTCAGCAGAGTGTACAAAAGATGCGTCCTGGAACTACACAAGGGATTTCCTAGTTTTGCTCAAGCCTCTTCCAAAAGCCATTCACTAGTTCCTTGTAGTAGGCAATAGTTGCCAAGAACAGAAGAGGTGAAGCAGGGGTGAGCAGTTGCCCTCCCCACTGCCCTTTCGCCCCCGCAGACCTCTCTGTTCCCATGTCTGCATGGGCTTTTCTGCTGAAAACTTTACAAATAAAACAAGGGGAATCTCACTTTTAATCTGGAAGACAAACTTCCCAAGTAACCACTATGGATAACACAGCATTCCTCTTGCGGAAACCCTTTCCTAAGGACGCTATATTCCACTCTGCAAACAAGGGAGTGGGTTCTGTCAGGCTGAACAGTGAGGTCCCAGGACATCACAACATTGTAGTGAAAATATTTATTCTTGGCCAGGAATGAGCCATGTACAGTTATTGCTAGAGCACATATTTTCAGTGTCAGTGTTTTATCATTGTGTCTCTGATGAGACCAGTAAAATGCATTTTACATGAATATTTAAATTAACTTCTCACAATTTTCAATTCAGTTAATGTTTTACACAAATGAGAAGGGCTCATTTGCATTTTATTCAGCTCTTTAGAAGCATCTGATCACATATTTTGAAAAAGCAGCCCTGGGTCAGGCTTCTTGCGTGGCACAGCCGTGACCCTGCAGCGCACCTCCCTACCTCACTGTCTGCTCCCCCACCGGCTAAGCCCAGGCATGGTGTTACCACCTGAACCTGAGGTAATGAAGCAGACGAAGGATGAATGCCAAAGTATTTGTTGGCGACCTTCATCTTGGAGGAAACAGTATTAGGTATTTGAAATGACTGGGGTGACTTCTTACATATTAATGAACTGCATATAGAAAGTATGTGCTCATTTTTCCTGTAGATTGGGCTGTGTGTGTTTGCGTATATACATACTTACTGGGACCTCTGACAGAAGCAAAGCTGACTTTGGATAGCAGCAAATAATATTAGCATGATTCTTTGCCAAAGTGCAGAAGTATTTCCTCCAGATTTTCTTGCCTTTGTGTTTATAATCTTGGGGGAGAATCCTTCTACTCGGTGAGATTAAAAAGTGGGTTTCTCTTGGCTGGGGAGAAAGCTTGGCCATGTAAGCGCCTGCCTGGCAAGCATGAGGACCTGGGTTTAATCCCTGGTACCAAATGCAGCGCTGACCACCAAAACCAGGCATGCTGGCGCACACCTGTGATCCCAGCACTGGAGAGACTGAGACAGGAGGATCACTACAAGTCCAAGCTTGTGTAGCGAGACCCTGTACCAAATAAATAAAAGATTTAAAAAAAAAAAAAAAAGTTTCTCTCTGGGTGTGGTGGTGCACACCTGTAATCCCTGAACTCGGGAAGCTGAGGCAGGAGGATCGCTGGGAGTTCAAGATGAGCATGGGCTACAAAGTGAGCTCAAGCCCAGCCTGAACTGCATAGTGAGACCCTGTCTCAAAAAAAAAAAAAAAGGATTTCTCAAAATACATGCCCAAGAAATCAATTTATTCTAATTGTACAAGTTTTAAGTGTTTTTTTAATTAAAAGATTAAGACGTCTTTGAAAAAATTCTCTACTTCACTATATGTGGTGCTAATGGACTTGGACAGTTACCAGCAAAGGCCATATTTTAAAATGAGCAATTTAATAACGTGATTAAGGCTGGTGGATTTCTACAGTTTTGAAGAAGCCTGTCATTTATCACAAGGATGGCACCAAGCTGATGCAGTTACAGTTTATTTATTTTTAAAGAATAAAAATTTATTAAAAAAATTTAAAAATGCAGAATTTCAAAACTAGATGATAGGAAATTTACAGTGGTTGTTATATTGCGTAGCGTTATCTTCAAAGTAGTTATTCAATTACCAGACATAGGCATGTAAAATGGATCAAAGAATTAGGCATTAACTGTTCATTTCAATAAACCAATAGAAATTAGTAGTACAGTTACCTTAGCCATCTTGTGTATGTATATATTTTCCCTTCTTTTCTCTTTTCTCCCATCCTAGCTGTACTTGCCTTTTGAGAAGTTTCTTTCCCTTCCTGTACAGTTCCTTTCTTTCCTGTATCTAGTGTATCTTTCAGAATTTATTTACTCATTCAGTTTCTTATACTAGGGAGACAATAAGATGTTTACACATGTGGGTCTGATTTATTTCAGTTATGAGTATGGTCTCTAGTTGCCTCCATTTGCCTATGAAAGCCTCCAGGGCTGGGGAGATAGCTCAGTAGAATAAGTGCTTGGCTGGCAAGCACGAGGCCCTGGGTTCAATCCCTGGTATCACAAAAAAAAGCCTCCAGTTTATCTTCTTTATAGCTGAGTAATACTCCAGTGTATAAAAATACCACATCCCTTTTATCTGCTCAGTGATGGACATTTGGGTTGTTTCCAACATTTAGCTATGACAAACTGTGCTGGTGTAAACATGGGGGCACAAATGTCACTGTAGTATGATGTTTTTAATTCTGGACAAATACCCGGAAAGGGAATACATTGTTTTTAGTAATTTCTTATGAGAAAGCAAACAGTATAGCATTTACCAATTACTGAAGGTATTTTGGGAAGTTTAGGTATATTTTGAAGATTTAAAAAACATAAATATGTGAATTTTTTGGTTAAAGTAACATTTTTATCTAAATAGTTTCTATGTTTTCTTCACAGTGGTTTGATAAGTGTATTTTTATTAGAATGCATTATGAGTGATTATTTTTATATGATGAGATGTATACTCTATTTGTATTCATTGTTAAGCAGGTTGTTTTCAACCTAATCTGGTAAATTACATAAGGAGGATTTCTATTTAAAAATAGAATCCGGGGGCCGGGGAGATGGCTCGGTAGAATAAGTACTTCCCTGGCAAGTGCAAGGGCCTGAGTTCAATCCCTGGTTCTGCCAAAAAAAATAAAATAAATAGAATCTGAAAAATAATAAAAATAGAATCCAGAAATTAATTGGTTAATATGTCTGCTACATGGTCAAATGCAATGATGCTAAATTTTAAAGTGATCAAAACTATTATAAAAATAAGTAAAACTTAGATGGCTTAGAAACCTGTCATATAATAGTATTTAGGCAATCTGGCCTAAATGCAAAGCATTAAGTGAACATAAATAGGTTCTTGTTCATATCCAAATATTAAAATGGTCATTTAAGGTTTCAATTTAAGAACACCACATTCATTTTCATATGAATTTGTGTGATACGAATGCTGCTTTTAATGAACATTTAGTAGCTAAGATTCAGTTTCTTTTGAACTGAAGATTTTTACAAGGTTGGAGGAGTTTATCAGATATTAATCAGATGTTAATCTTTTAAGTATATGACATCCCTTGAGTCAAGTATTATTCGCTTTGTTTCTCACAACACATAACATGAAAATTCCCTCCCACTTTATGGAGCACTATTCACTTAACATTTTTTTCAAAGCACTTCAGAGGATCCAAAAATAGTACCTGGTAACATTTAAGTAAAGGTAGCAGAAAACAAAAGAACTTTCAAACAGAAATTATGTTCCCTGCCACCTCCTCCAGCTCAAAGAATAATAAGCATGTGGCACAAATAGAGTTCTGTAGAAGAGCTGCCTGCATAATTTTCTCTCCAGATAAGGTATTTGACAGCATAAAGTTGGCGATGATTTTCATTGGGCTACTACTTAGTAGGGGCTTAGAAACTCTGTGATGCTTGGGAGATTGTTACCACACCAACAGACTGGACATAAGTGAATGAACTTGCTAGACTGCTGGGGTACAGAGCATGCGGCCACCAGGCAGATTTGGCTTCTGTGTTGTAGTCCAGAGTTAATTTCACCCATAAACTTCTAACTTCAAGTTGCCTTATTTTTATAGTTGAGAATTTTTTAGGGGTTTATGGCAGACTTTAAAAAATAACTATTAGATATTAAAATCCTATTGTTTAAAAAGATTTTTTTTTAGGGAAGGGTCTACCAGGTGTTTAGGGTCTCACTACTAGATCAGGGTCTCATTACTAGATTGGGACTGTTTACAGCCTCCCAAGAGCTGGGATTATAGGGGCACCACCACGCCCAGTCTCAATTGCTGTCTCAGTGACACAGCAGGCCCAAGGATCAAATCCCGGCCCCTGTGGGCCCTACACCTGCTTGCAGGCACTTTAATCCTCTGAGCTATTTGGCCAGCCCTTGAAAAGATCTTTTTGTTAACTTTATTGAAATATGTGAAGTTTTTCTAATTTCATCTGATACCAAATACATCTGCCTACTATTTCTGCATTTTAAGAATACCTTCATTTAAGTTTCATGGTTCTTCAGGCCCCAGTTCCTATGATGTTTTATTGTGTAATGTGATGTTTCTTATACAGAATCCAAAATTTTAATTCATAGTACACTTGCAGGTACATTTTTGTGAAATTTCTCACAGTGACCTTTATTTTGTTACAAAAACTTACTAAAATGAAGCTACATAAAATGTAGGTGTCCTGATTACATTCACATTGGTTTCGCACACATTGGGCATCGCACCTGCCAAGAACTCTTTGGTGGTTTTGTTTTTTGCGGTACCAGGGATTGAACTCAGGACCCTGCGCTTGCCTGGCAAGCGCTTATTATACTGAGCTATCTCCCCCGCCCTTCGCCCTTTGAGAACTCTTTGATGCAGAATGGCTCCCTGCCCTCCACCAGCATAGCCAGGGCCAAAACAGCAGATGCTGGGAGTGGAGCTGTCTGCGTGGGGAGGGTGGGGACATGAATACAGCGGCTGTTCGAAAGTAGTTTTTAAATAAAACACATTCATTCTGACTTGTGATTAGGTACAGAAAAAGGTCTGTTTAATGTTACATATTTATAACTCTTTGTAAAAATGTTAAGTGGATGAGCTATTATGGAAGTAAGAGTTCCATTTTCTTTTTCTCATTAAAATTAGTGTTATATTACTGTGGATCAGATGCTAATGTAAAAGGAGGAATATTCTATACCGAAAAGGCTCCAAACTGAATTTATGTACTGATTATGACTACAGAATAAATGCTATAATTACTCATGTTTATTTATTCATGTCTTTCAAAAGAAACATGGTAAGTTATGTCCACTTCTTAAAATGATAAAGATCACACCAATGATTTAGGTAGCTCTACCCGAAGTTCTACCCTCCTAACTGGACACTGGACAGACTTTACAAATATATGCCTCAGGGCTTGCAGGTTAGCTCAGTTGCTTAAGTGCCTGCTCTGGCAAACCCAGTCAGGCGCAGGGGACCGCGGTTCGATCCCCAGCTCCACATGCTTTACCACACCTGCCCTTAGAGCAGCCTGAGCCAGGCAAAAAAAAAAAAAAATAAATTCCTCAATGAGTATACAGTGAGGAAGACATACAAAACACCTAGAACTCTGAACCAGTTCAACCTGATAACAGTTTTGAGTTTGAAGATATCTATATGGATTGGACAAAGGCACAGTTTCCAGGCTGGGGCAGTAGTATTTGCCCTTATAAACTGGGTGCTGGGTTTGAGCCCCAGGAATGGGGCTCAGTGGAATAAGCACTTCCCTGGCAAGTGCAAGGGGGGCTGGGGGTGGGCGGAGCTTTCATCATTCACTGCTGACATTCATTAGTTGTGTTCTCTGCACCAGATGAACGAGTTGTTAAAAATCTCTATGGTTTCCCAAATAACCAAGCCATCCTGATACGAAAACGCTTATTCGAATGGTACCTGGTAAAGCTGGGTATTTCACAGGTTCTGTGTTTGCTGAGGCACTGATTTCATTCTGCTAACTTGAACAACGCAGTTTTCGGGCAGGGGAGATAGCTCAGTAGAATAAGTGCTTGCCTGGCAAGTGCAAGGTCCTCAGTTTAATCCCTGGTACATACACACACACACACACACACACACACACACAAAATGCAGTTTTCTCTTCAGTGCAACCCAATGATAATAAATGGGCTCTGTGAAAGCCCATACTTTCCAAATCTTGACTCGTTTGTAAGTTGATAGTGCCTTCTAAGTCCTAAAACTAAACCTGGCTCCATAGTCCACTTATTAATGTACACTGTACACACGATATTTAATGTTAATTTTTTTCAGAATTTAAAAGTTTTATTCATCTTGCTTGTTCCCACAGGCAAATCTGATAGTCCTTTTTAAATGTATCTTTCAGGTTGAAGTCCAGAGTCCCCCGTCC